GACTTCAACTCAAAAAAAAAAAAAAAAGAAAAACCTCTAACTCCTCAGAGCTTGCTTCCTGATCTATACACAAGGACAAAACCCACCTTCCAGGGTGATAACAGATACTGAATGAGATTCTATACATGTAAACACATGCAGGGATATGTGTGCCAACCCCCTGCCCCATATGTATCAGTCACCTTCCTCCTCTTCTTATGCCTGGTACACACAGAGTACTCAGCAAATGTGACTTAAGTGATACATCTGATGTCTAGCAACATTTTCTTTCATTTTTTTTTTTGAGTTGGGGTCTCACTCTGTCGCCCAGACTGGAGTGCAGTGGCATGCTCCCAGCCACCGCAGCCTCGACCTGCTGGGCTCCTGCGATCCTTCCTCTTTAGCCTTCCAAGTAGCTGGAACTACAGGCACACGCTACTATACCCAGCTTATTTATTTATTTATTTTTTGAGTTGGAGACTCACTCTGTCGCCCAGACTGAAGTGTAGTGGAATGCTCCCGGTCACCACAGCCTCGACTTGCTGGGCTCTGGCGATCCTTCCACCTCAGCCTTCCAAATAGCTGGACCTACAGGCGCATGCTATCACATCTGGCTAATTTTTGATTTACTGTAGAGATGAGGTCTGGCCAAGTTGCCCGGGTTGGTCTCCAAACCGTGGACTCATGCGATCTACTCGCCTTGGCCTCCCAAAGTGCTGGGATTACAGGCTGAACCACCGAGTCCAGCCTAGCAATATTTTCACCAATGATGTTCCTGCACAGGTATACTGTATCCATTTGCTCTAGACTGAGAACAGTAGTTCCTTGACAAAGAAAGAGGGTTGAGGCATGGTGACACGCAGTGGCAGTTTGGTACTGCTGGACTTTCAAGGAGCCAGAGAAGAGGCAGAGACACAGGAAGGAGCAGGTCATGAATGGCCTGGCATCCTGGCTGGGGATGATTCCTGTGGCATTTAAAGCTCTCAGAGATAACCCTGGGTTGTGGCATGCCACACCATACTAAGTCAGTTTTAGGTGGCAGGTGGTCTATCAGGCAAAGCCTGGCAATGAAAAGGAGTGAGAATATTGATTCAGTGATTTCTGTGGCAAGACAGGTGGTACAGAAAATATCTTATGAAGGCCTGGCACTTGTGTGCAATGTTTGAACGTCTTCGTACTGGTATTAGAAAGAGCTTTTGATGAATCCAGGTAGTCACAGGATAAAGTCTTAGTGCATCTGCCAGGATTCCCAGCATCTTCTGCCAATTAGATCTTGGAAGTTTACTGGAGAATCCTTACTGAAAAGTAAGACCTGGTGTCAAGTTCATGTACAAATTCAGGTAAATGTATAATGGTGGGGCCGGACACAAATCTTTGGCTTCAACGTGCCCTGTACTCATGCCTACCTGCCCTACTCTTTGAATGCTGGGAAGCATTTTTTAAAACATCTCATCTTTATTCTTCAACACCAAGCTCAGGGCCCCCAAAGCGTGAATTAAGTTGACCCTAGTGTAGACCAGACAATCTGAAAGATTAGGAGCTGTGTGGACAATAGGTAATGGTGGAAAAGAGGTAGGAAGTCAAGCGGGTACATCTCACCTCTGCTTTCTACAGACCTCCCACTTACGTCCTGGGCAGGCTCAGGCTCTAAACCGTGTGAATTCAGCATCTCCAAACGTCTATCTTCCTGTCCTCTCATTCTCCTCACCAAAACCCACAGCCCCAACAGAAAGAAAACGAGAGAGCTGTGGATACCCTGCCCACAGAACTACCCATTCTTTCCTTCCCATCGTGTCTTTGAAAACTGCCCTGAAGTAGACAGCAGATGAGAAAGGGAAATTAATGGGAAATTATTACCCAAGTAGAAGCTTTCTGGGAACTCCATAAACACGGAATAAAAACTGGTATTTCTTTTAGATGGGAGATGAAAAAATGGAATAAAAACTTTCGCTTCAGGGAAAATAAACAACGATCACTCATGAATTCAGATCCAAGTAATTTTAAGGCAGAGTGAACAAACACACTCATGTAGGAAAATACTCAAGAAGAGGTGTTTGTTTTATGTGGGTACAGGCACTCTCTACCATGAATTCTGCTGAAACCTTGGGAAACAAAGTAGATTAAAACACTTAACTCTTGACTGGGCACAGTGACTGACACCTGTAATCCCAGCACTTTGGGAGGCTAGGTGGGAGGACTGCCTGAGCCCAGGAGTTTGAGATCAGCCAGGACAACATAGCGAGACCTTGTTTCTACAAAAAAAAATTTTTAAAAATTAGCTGGATGTGGTGGTGTGTGCCTGTAGTCCCAGCTACTCAGGAGGCTGAAGCGGGAGGATCACCTGAGTCCAGGAGGTCAAGGCTGTGGTGAGCCGTGATCATCCCATTGTGCTCCAGCCTGGGTGACAGAGTGAGATCCCAACTCAGATTAAAAACAAAAACAAACCACTCAACTCCTTTTTTTTTGTGTGTGTGTGTGTTGGAGTCCCACTCTGTCGCCCAGACTGGAGTGCGGTGGCTGCTCCCGGCCACCGCAGCCTCGACCTGCTGGGCTCCAGCGATCCTTCCGCCTCAGCCTTCCAAGTAGCTGGAACTACAGGTGCGCGCTACCACGCCCGGCTGATTTTTTGATTTATTGTAGAGATGAGGTCTCGCTGCCCAGGCGGGTCTCGAACCCGTGGGCTCAGGCAGTCCACTCACCTCAGCCTCCCAAAGGCGCGGGATGACAGGTTGAGCCACCGAGCCCGGCTTAAATGTACTTCTTATATCCACGGCAAAGGACACTACCATGTTTAGACCAGAACAGTTGAAGGAGGTAGACCAAGCTATGTGGGCACACAGAATCATTCATGACGTGCCCTAGGGCAGTTCTAGCTCACAGAATCCGTGGTTTGCCAAGTACAACTTATACAGAAATTAGGCTTAATTCCATGTGTTTTGTTTTGTTTTGTTTTTGAGTTGGAGTCTC